ATAAAGTTTAAAGTGAATAATGTATTTATTAACACAAATCACACAATGTTGACTTATTTATGTCCAGTAAAATAAATAGTATAAACATGAATAATGACAAAAGCACAATTTTAAACTTTGTGCTGAAAGCTATTTGGCTCAGAAAGGCTCGCTAAGCGCTGATTATCAGTCTGTCCCTTATCGGATAGAAAGTAGTACCAGTAGAACTTAACCATTTTGACTGTGGCGCCTTCTAGTGGTATAAATACGTCAAAGTCTCGTGTCATCGTAAGGCCACCGTCTCGCCCCGACGGCACCCCAAAGAATTAGCTGATCCGCAATATGATTTTATTGCAAATAACCACCGCTAAATAAAGCGCAAATCCCTCTGATGGCGATATTTGCAGTTTATTTTTTTCATGGCGACATTATCTTTTATTGAGAAAAGTGTTTATGGGGCGACTATCTTTACTCCTCTGCCGACGACGATTTCCTATAATAAAGCTGAAGAGTTTGTTCGTTTGAACGCGCTAATCTCAGGATATATTTGTTCGAGTTGAAAAATTATTTTCTTGTAGAGGAAGCTTTAGGCTATTAAACTACAGACTGCGACCGATAGCGGCGAAGAAACAGAGGAAAATGTGGTAAATCGCGGAAAGTATTCATCGATAGCTTCCATTAAGGAATTATTTTTGGGTCGGTTGAAACAAATAAATATATTTAAACGTCCGCGACAGTACATGTATTTTTTTTTAAATTTAACTCGCAAGAACGATGTCCAAAATCACTATGGTTCAACTTTTAACAGATGGAGTTAATGTAAATTTTTGTTGTTATATTTATGTCTATCGATAATCGAGTGCTTTTATCTGTTGAATATTAACATAGAGTCATTCATTTAGTTTTTCAAAGTCAAATAAAGAGAAAATAAAACCATTTATCATTTTTTGAATCACGTAAGGGTCAATAAACCCAATTGAAGGAATAAATTGTAGTCATAGAAATCTCTGGCGATTGGCGGGTAAAAAGAAAAAGGCATATAAATTATCCTTTATCAATAAGTAGTAAGTATTCGAAACTTCGATAAGTATACTGAAAACGTTTTCTAGTCAAAATTATTTTGATTTGTTACTTTATGGTAGGGAAATCCGAGTTAAAAAATTAAAATGGCAAAAACAATATCCGTTAAGCCGTCAAAGTGTTTTATTTAAATTGTACTACTCGTAAAAGAAATTACCTATATGGAATTCCGAGACAAACAAGACACAGAAAATAATAAGTAAACTTATTTTCGTTTCTGAAGAAATCCTACAATCAAACTGACGTTGTTTTAAATATACATAATGAACGTATCGCTTGCAAAGCCGCGGCCCAAACATAACTTATTGCTCTAAAGTCTAAGACATCTTAATTCTGCTCCTGCTAACACTTACTAATGCTTTAGGGATGCGTCCTCGCAGGAGTATACTTTACAATCATTTCTGCTTTCGTAAAACTGAGAATTGTTTTTATATAATGAAACATATTCTAATATCCTTATTTTGTAACAAGTCATATTCTAGAAGTGATGTCCTTACAATGTCGATAATAAAGATAATAATAATAAGTCGTACCTAATTACTTTTTATCGATACAATTCATTAAATAAACCTGTACATATATTGTGAAAATGTTATCGCTGAGATTCGCTTCAGATGCAAACGTATATACTCGTAGCATAACATGTTACATGGGCATTAATATTACAATTCAAAAATAAAACCTGGTGAGCATTTTAGAAATTTAGATTTACGTTAATTTTATAAAAAAAAACGTACATTCCATAGTAATTATAATTCGTCATTATCGCCTACATCTTGTTATTGAGAAATTAAGGTTTAAGGCAGCGGTCATTCGGCGTGTTCCATGTTTACCTTTTATCAGAATCACAGTGCGGTATCCCGGTGAAAGCGTAAAGTAAATAATAAACGAGGCACATATTCGGTAAAAGTAGTTTTGTGTCGATGCATTTTAGATGGGGCCAAATGTGGCAACTGTTCCTCGCCGCCATTAATTATTCCCTCATTTCACTGATTTTTCACTCAGACGTCCAATTAATTCTTTAATGGACACGCTCTGGACGCACGTTCTACAATTCTTCATTTATTTTTGTTCATTTTCCTGTTTTTCGTTTGGCTTTCCGACAAAAACGATGTCGTTACGTATAAAATGTTATATGTGTTTTTACTTAAGACGATGTAAGTAGTCGATATACGTAGCAATTGACATAAGGGACCGTGAGTTTGATCCTCAGCAGATCCAACATATTTTCATCAATTTATAATTTTCCTAAAATATGTTAAACTTTGTCTGTATATTTTGATATTAAATTGGTGGTAGAAATATCGAAATTCTGACAGGATCACGAACTACCGTCACAGATGAAAAAAGCCGTGAAGTTTAATCGCGTTTCGCTTTCAGTGTGTGGATTTCCGAATATCGAAAGCAGAAATAGATCGACATCGCATCTTGTTGAGAATATGGTTGGGGTATTTTATCTTCTATCGAGTGATATTATAATAATACTAAAGTGTTTTACCGTGCGTTATTTTACAATGACCATATTAGTGGTTAGTGGAAACTACGACAAAAATAAAAAAAAAAACTTGGCAAACACTAAGAACCACGAGGCCTCGGTGCGACATAAAAATAAAACTACGGAAGAATGTCGCAGTGTGGCGCGAAGATCCGGACAAAAAATTGCTTTTAGAGGCCTGCACTGGAGCTGGCTCTGTTCCGTCGAAAACCGACATTAATCGGTAGAGGTTTCACTCGCGTAACATAAATTGCATTAAAAGACAAAAAAAATCTGGCCAGTGTATCTCCCCCCTTTTTTACTTTTACCGCCAAGTTAAGATGATAAAAACTAGATAATGGGGTAATTATTACTATCCGTCTTCGCGTACCTACAGTACTTGTTGTAAATTGAACAATAGGTACAGACGCCATTTGTACATTCGACGAATTGTCAAAGTTATAAAATACGGAGTTATTCCTAGAAAGTCGTAGAGCAAAGAACCCCACATGAAGATTAAAGGTGCGAGTTGTTAACGCTACTGTTCGTTTGTTATACCTACTATTGTTTCCTGAACAATGAATACATTTAAATAAAACACTTTAACGGTTTAAAACGCGATATATTAGTAAACTTATTTGAAAATGATTTTTAACTTCGGCCCGACGTTTCGGATGCTTTGCAGCAGCGGTGACGGGGAGACTCCCCGCGTTTTAAACCGTTAAAGTGTTTTATTTAAAGGTGTACTACTCGCTTAAACTATAGACAGTATTTAATGAATAAGTCTCCGTCTTTCTGTTTAAAATACTACTTTAATCTATACTTAATATATAAAGCTGAAGAGTTAGTTTGTTTCAACGCGCGGGGGAAAATTTCATATCAAAATGCTGCGAAAAAGTTTCAAGATACCAAAAACATAATATGTACGAAAGAACTATTTCTTGATAATGCTCAAATGAGTGTCAAACATATAAGCTACTTGAAATGATTTATGTCACCAAAGTGCTGATTAGTAGACACCTTCATATTATGAACATTGCAAATACCTACCTCAATACCTTATACATTTAAATATACCAGAACTACTTAGGTTTTAGAGATATGTGGATGACGAAAGGTCCAGAACAATTTCTCAACTACGAGGGACAAACGGTTATCAAAGCTCTACTTCGTTATAAATTTATTTTAATCAATTATTCAATTGGCAGATAAAGATATACGTTAAACTCCTTTACTATTTTATTTAAAATACCGAATTAGGTATATACTATTCGTGTATTACATAAATTTAATGAATCTATAAGATAAACCAATAAACTACAATCATTGTACTGTCTGCTATTTGGCGCAAATAGTAGGTACACAGTTAAATAGAATTTAAAACGCGAAATATATTAGGTAACTTATTTTTAATTTGATTTTCCCACCCGACCCCGGTTGCAAGCGTAATTAAAATAAATTGTAAATAATATGTATCTAATATTTCGTGTTATCAGTTTTATTGAATTGTGCTGAGAATACTTCGTATAGTATCTGAAGATTTCCCCAGTATTAGTCCGTGATGTGGGTATTTGCGAGGTTCCATCTATTTACCGAGCGCATACGCGTCTACCGAACGAAACGGAGCAAGCCAAACATGGGAACGGGCGCGTTTCTCGAAATCACACGAAAGCGTGTTTGCGTATTTCGGCCTCTCTTCTGTTTGCTCCACCACAGTGGATCGCCCGATATCACTTGTAACGCGCGAAGTTACGAAGGTAAATCTTATTTAATATAAACTTAACTTTTGAGTCAAATTACCCTCTTTGTAAAAGCCTATGTATACACAAATGAGGAACGGAAAGACCACAAATATCAGTCCGATAGCACTCACTCGCTTTTCCGTTAAAATATTCCGCGCTAAAGAGATAATTGACACTCGGTATTGGTTCAAGATGTTAATCCTCTAATTGTAGCTAACAGCGACTTTGTGGAATCACTTAGTTTCGAGTTAAACGGTGCTTTGCATTGAATATTAGACTTAATTTGTGCCTTCAAATATTTGTATTTCGTTCGCCGGTGACAGCCGCCGACTCGCCTCCTAACCGGGTCAGCGTGCTCAGTTTCTACCTCAAAAAAGCTTTGCAACTTTAAAACGAGTGTCAAAGATTGTTCGATTGTTAGATTTGAATTTGAGTTAGCGACCACCCAAACGACACACGATACGTGAAACGTTTAAAGCTTTGTATCAAAATCATTTATAAGCAATATCGAAGGTCGAAATCAGGTAGAAGGTAGAAGGTCTTGTGAAATGTATCGAGATAGTGCAAGTTTTGTATGCGACGTGCGAAGAGGGAGTCGCGCAAGGTGATGCAGTGGGCCGCTGTTGTTTTTACTTTTACAGCATTAATATTACGTAAACTATAACAAATAACGGTTTAAATGAAACAGTCTGTTTGATTTTAGAAAAAGCTATAAATAATCTTACCTGTACTCGACTCTCCGTTAGACCGATCCTCATCGCGATTTCTTCTCTCATGAAGATATCCGGGTAGTGGGTCTTCGTGAAACATCTTTCTAACTCATTCAGTTGAGCCGGTGTAAACCTTCGAAATCAAAACGGGTCAAAGTGCTATCATGTAAATCGGTAAAGGAGTATTTCATATTATCAGTAAGTGTACAAAGCCAAAACTATTGAAGTTAACTAGCTACTTGCTACTTGGTACTTGGAGATGCATATTTTGTTGTAGCATTTTAAATGTGAAAAGAGATGGAAGTCGAAGTAGTTACCTTGTCCGGTGCCTCTTCTGCTTGGCCGGTTTGTCGCTGTCTGACGCGGAAGACGACATGCTGACGGGCACCGTCGACATGTTGTGCCCACCGTGCTGTTGGTGTAAGCCACCTGCAACAGAGCGACGGTAAACGTGTCTCCTCGACTAATTGTTTGCCGAGCCTCGTAGATCTCTCTTCTGCCCTCACCTTGGAGGTGGTCCGGCCGTATAGAGTGCGCGAGGAGGCGCGCGCCCGGCGCATGGTGACGCTCCACGCTCGCCTTCAACTCGAGCTTGCTCTCCGAGCAGTGCTCTTTGTGACCTGCACGCACAAGTGGCTATTAGTCCACGGAATCCTTTTTCACTAATTCTTTTACTACTCACATATGTTTAATCTAATACTCGTAACTTTAAAGCACAGAGCAATTATTTTCATCGCTTTATTCAAAAGGTTCCCTTGGAGAAATAGATTTTTTATTGAACTCTTATTCCAAAGATAAAAGTTAGTATTTATGAATTTTAACTTACCAACGGAATATCACTACGTGGTCCCTATTTCGGTTATATTAATAAAAAGAAATCAAACAAAATGAAAATTACTTCTCTGTATGTGTACTTAGTCTTTTACAGTCCTTAATTTAACTAGATATTTACTAAGACATTATTATTAAATTTGTTGAGAATTAAAAGACGCCAATTGGCATTTGTAAATGAGGAACTACCTTATAGTAAGAGTCTCTTCAAATCGACTTTAGTTTCATTTTAGAAAAGATAACCTAAAACAATACACCCCATATTTATACCGAAATCAAAAAAAATGTTACAGAATATTCGAAGCAAAATAAAACTATGAATTCATTTAACAACTAATTATTTTAGATATATCTTTCATTACAGATGAACATGATCCAGAAAATACTTTCTAGGCTGCTGTAGCAGTGTCGTAGCATTCGTAGCACTCGACAAAAAGGTCAAATGATTTACCACAGTTGAACTAAGTGCACTGCCCTTTCTAATTTTATCCGTCTTTAGTTTAAATGTTCTGAACCTAATTTATATCTACTTATATATAAAATTTAACAATATTTTTTTAGTCTTAGAAGTAAAACATAAGGTTACAAGTACCTAATGTATAAATATTAATATTTAATCAAAATTATTAGTTTACCTTTTTTTGTATTGTATTTCACTGCAGGTGAAAACAAAACACAAGAGTATGTAGTGTAAAGGAGCCCTTCGATCAAGAGAATTTAACGTTTGATAACATCGTCCATATTTCGAATCCCTTAATTATATTTACTACCACTTTGTATAAGTACGTAAAAGCCACGCAAAAGTAAACAATTTTAAGTTGTCTTCTCACAAGACACTTCTTACTTAGAAATGAATGAGTTCATATTCAAATGGCTAATGAAATGAGCCGCATTTGGGCGCAAATAGAAAATTCCCAGCGCCGTGAAGATTATTTCGGCGGAAAACGGCGAAACTTGGACGATTTCCTTAAGTCTTTCGGCTTAATGCCCCGCCCATGCGCCTCCGCTGCGCCGCGGCCGTTCAAACTTTACATCATTTCAATATCATGAAATTCATACGATTGGCACTTAAACTACATTTGCTCAATCATTGTACGTTTCTAGTATAGTTATTTGAACACGATAGATAACAATAGGTCGTTTGAATTTATAAGTTATTTAAAAGCAACAACCAAAATTGACACTCCTATGATCCGTTTACTTAAATCAGTCTATTGTGCTTCACGATATTTATTTTAAGCTATATTTAAGCGTTGAATTTTCAGTAATAATTTGTCTAATAAGAATAATTTAGGTAGATACTAGATTAAACCCATTTTATGGCTCATATTGGCCTAGTGACGGTCAGAAAGATGTTTTATAATATTTTATTATTGTTAGGTACGTTAAATATTTGAAAACTTTATTATTTTTTACATGTTATTTGCATTATTGCACATGAAGACACTAAATGATTTAAAAATCGAAAATAAATTGAAAAAATATTAACTATTTAATTTTTCTTAAATAAGAAGCAATCCCTGCATTTAATTTAGACTTAAAAAAAAGAGTAAAAACTCCTTATTTAACTAAATATATAATGACTCGGTAGCTCAATCGGTAGAGCAACAGCACGGGACGCTGACGAAGCCGGTTCAAGTCCTGCCCGAGTCAAAAATTTTTTCAATTTATTTTCGATTTTTAAATTATACGTTAAATATCCTAGCCAAGTTTTACATCCGAGGCCTATAGTAGAAATTGAACAATAAAGACATAAACGCATTTTAAAGGTTTATTCAATTTTGTCATTAGACATTTTTTGGCTTCAGTCCTTCCACTACTAATCGGAGTTATGATTTAGTGGGATAATGTCTCTAGCATTTAGACTTGCATTTATCCAGACGTACAATAAAAATAAAAGCTCTCAGCCGAAAGACACGATGATGCTCACCTCCTAGAGATGTTGCCGTGAGGTTGTTGAGCATGGCCCCGAGAGGCCAGGCCTGGCCGCGCCCTACACCGCCATCTTCCTCCGAGAGCCACAGCAGACCAATCTTTTCGCCTCTCCGCGCTCCCGGCACGACACTCGCTCCGCACTCAGACACACCGCACCCGGGACATTCTCGATTCCCGGAGAGGCCGAAGGAACGAACGCGACGCGCAAAAAACGCGAATCGCCGCCGAAAACGCGCTGCGACACGAATTAATTATCGCTATATTACGCCAATTAGTTTCAATTACGACTCCGCTCCGACTTATTTACACGCTTAATTTTTGTTATAAAATTAATATAACCCGTTTAGTATCAATTTGTATAAATTTGCAGTTCGATCGGTTCGCCCTTAAAATGATCGTTTAATGTGGAAACTCGGCGTCGACTGCTACAAAAACAGACGAGGCCGCCGCGTCGCGCCGCGGCCGCGGCGGGGCGGAGCCGACTCGCTCTATCCGTCCTCTTCTGACGCGGGGCCGCGCGCATCCCGCATCGCGCGGCGGCAAACGTCACTGATGGACGCTTACGCTTTGTTTACGGCCGGTTCGAACGAACGAATAATCTATTATTTCATTCGTGCGCGTATTATTGATACGGCGCTCTCGGGCTCGTGCAATATTCAGGAGCCGAGCGGCGTACAGCCGTCTCCGTCCGGTGCTAGGCGCGATATCGGGCGCGGCCAATGGCGTCGCGCGGGAATCACTCGAAAGCAGCGAGGCCGGGCCGAATTGAATCATTACGCGTTATGGGGCGTTACGCTCGTAATGGAAAAAACGACTACCTCGTATATGTATAGGCGAGAGGACGAGGGCGAACGACCGTTTAGCGCTCGGCCCGCGCTGAGTGCGATCTCTTGTAGCCTTCGCGCGAAGCGGACTCCTTTGAATAAAGAATGCGAATGTTTTCACCGATCTGCCCGCTCAAAGGAAACGACATAATATATCCGCTATTTACGGAGGAACAGGACCGACCACTATACGAAGGATGACATTTCCCACCTCACCTTTCCTATCTATGTCTATAAGAGAGTTATTTTTAACGTTGAAATATAGCATTTTCCCAATGACACAAAAAATCATCTTTGCAAGCTATTTAATTATTGATTGACGTTTGACGTTGGATTCCTAAATGATCGGAGATTAAAAATACAGTTTTCATTTCTATATGCGGTACCTAAAACATTTTGACGGTCTCGTTGGTGTAATGTTAGCAAAGTATGACAAAAATCCCACCGGACCCGACATTTCTTTCAGACAGCATGGAACGCTGTGGATGCCGGTGGACGCATCCACAGCGTTCCATGCTGTTAGCTGATGCTGTAACCGAATAAGCTACCGCAACCTTAAATACATAAATAGAATAAGTCTAATATATTGCAATATATTGAAGTAAAAGCTCTACTAAATTCCAATAGGAAACCGACAACTCCTGAAACGGGAGATTCTCGGCGTAACGATGTAATTCTGAAAATCAGCCGCGACGCCACCGCTTGCGTATGCACGACAATTGACACTTGTTTCTCAGAAAAAACTCACAGATTTTATAGATTACTGGCTGCTGAGACGACATTGTCCTCGGGTAATAGTCATTCTGGGCATCATATTATTTATCTTTGCCAACGACCTCCTCGTGTGTAGCTATCGCTCTACCTACGACGACGTCCGTTGCGACTTTGCGAGTTAATCTTAAAATACATATATACCTACTGTCGCGGATATATTTTAGATCATTTAAAGGAGTATAATTCATTTGTACATAAGTTTGGGGTATCTAGTTCGTCCGTTCGCAAAGAAAACCCTCAGACATGAAGAAGTATCCCCCTTCTTCCATATTTCCCATGTTTCTTCGTTTCTATTGGTCGCTCGACGATGACCTTGATGTTTTATAACCTGAAACCTTCCTCGATAAATGGTTCCACCGACACAAATGTATAATAGGTACTTTAAAACTAGCCTTAGTTGTATACACAGAAAGGTATTTAGGACCCACGTTATGCAATAGTTGTTCATCGTTCGCGTGCAAGCAGCAGAGGCGTAGACCTGAAAAGGGGAATAAAGAATTTAATATAGAGGAGAGAGGCGAAATTTCAGTTCCGTTCTGTGTCGGTGGCAGCTCGAGGTATTTTAAAATGAAATACCGCTGCGAAGCGCCCTCCAGGTAATTGCGACTCCAACCACGCCTGTGTGCGTCGGCCTTTGTGAGGTGCACCTGTGCCTGTGTGCTCTCCGGCTACGGACTGCAAAGTAGCACAGAATACGGCCACCTAACATACAACACATAGGTACTTGCTTTATACCTAAAATGGATTGGCATTGTGAGCCATCTTTCGCCAAATGTAGATTAAGTTAGGCATAATCAGTAGTTACGCGAATAGTAATTGAGATAAAACACTTAACGGTTTAAAACCCGAAATATATTAGTTACAATTCAATTATTTACATTTTATGCTATGTCCCCCGTAACCAGGGCTGCAAAGTATCCGAAACATCGGTTCAGAGTCAATTGTAAATAAGTTAACTAATAGGTAGGTATCTCCCTACCTACTTTTAATTCGCGTGATAAACTGTAAAGTGTTTTATTTAAATGTAAAGTACATAGAAATAAGTCTTAGGCTCAACAACAATATTCTCCATTTTCTGCATATATTTGACAGAAGGTCTAACATGCCCTTTCTTAAAGACGATGACCCAAGCTTAAAGCAACCTCTAGTTGTAAAAATCCCATTCTAAAGTTCTGCCTTTTAAATTTTACGGATATTGATCGAGAATGTATTTATCATAAGGGTGTGGTATTTAATTTACTTGTAAATTTCTAACCCTTACCGTGTTCTGCTATTAAAACCATAAAAACACCTCTATGGATATTTTTTTAAATTTCTTTTTTGCTTTTTCTTCTCTTCTCTCTTCTCTCCTTTCTCATTTCATGTTTATCTTCTTTTGTCTTTCCATCCATTATACCTAAGCTTCAAAATAACATTATTTTTAACAAAATTACTATAATAATACATCTCATACGAATATCGATTTTAGAATCCGAGACTATGTTTTGGGGGTACCAAGATACAATGTTACGGCATTCCCGACCCCCCATCCTCCTCTGGGTTTCGTGGTGGGCGAGCCCAATATAAGTGATAGACAAAAGAAAGCGCCTTCTCTTAGAGCCATATGTTAGATTTATAGCATTTTAGACAAACCGACCTTTGGCTAGTCTAACTCAGACTCGAAACGAACAACTCCGTACTCCGTGCGATATGGCATATTAACTTTAATCCCTTAACAACACAAAACAAACACCGATCAAAAATCCTATTAACGCCGGCTCAGTGTTAAACGATGATTTTAATAAAAAAATATACCCCTCTTTTAATATTGGTTATGCTCCGGGGTATCACGCGATACCCATCTACGTGACATCCTAAATGTCAACACGATTCAATCAAATATCCACTTTATTCGCCTGTGTTAAAATTCAAAATACCTCGCTTTTCAAGTAAGTTAAATGTTTTTAAAACTACGCGAAAATAAACCTTTTACGTAAAGTGTAAACGCTGGAATTCGCGTGTACTTTTAAAGAATTATAACGTTGTGGAAAGGGTTCAAAGTAACGCATCGTGCCCGTAAAACCGCGCGTAGTTTATTATAAGTTAATACGCACCCGCCTTAGCAGATAACTTGTTGTACACTGCTGGACATGCATGTTGTAACAGCATGGAACGCTGACAGTGACGATGCCGGTTCAAGTCCTGACGATAAATTTAGGAAGAAGACTCTCCAATACGACGAACTTTTGCTACTCTCTTTTAAATTTATTTATCTCTTTTAAATTAAAATATTTATTTTAAATCACAGAAATTAAGAATAAACTAATAATAATACAAAAGAAAATATTCAAGTTCAAAGCGATAGTTCTGAAAAGAACTTTGACAAACATTATGCAAAGTGTGATCCCTAATACTAAAACTAATTAGCTCTGAAACGAAATTTTTAAGTGAAGCAAACAATATTAAAAAAAACTCGAAATATTCAATGTCGTTCGCGCCCACTGCGTAAGGAGCCCACTGCCCCTCTATCGTCGAATTAGTTACTCGATGCGCGGCGATAAAAATACATGGTGGCTGCCGCCGGCATGTATTTTTATTTTATTTTCACAATATTTTTTGAATGGCATGTTCGATTTCAATAATTAAAAAAGTGATCATCAGGCATTGAGACAGTCTTGAATATTAATTTTTTAAAATTATTTATTTGGATACACATTTATAAATGGTATGGATAACACGGTCTGATTTTGATCGGCATGTCTATCAATTTGTTAAATGTAAAAAAGTAGTTATAGCGACGTAACTACAATCGTTAGACCTGTGCTCTCATGATGTTTTTTGTAGATATTAATATATTCTATAATATTGTCCAACATTTTTGTGTCCTATCATTAATACTTTTCGCAGCATAAGTATGCGAAGAAAGACATTTTCCGGCTAATTTTTTTACGCTTTCCGTTGGTTTTAGTAAGAATTTCTATAGATGTCTATAATAATCAAGTACTTAATATGGCCTATATTACTCAGTGATAATGTAGCTTTCTAATGAAAAAAGAATTATTAAAATCGGTCCAGTACTCTTTGAGTTTATCCGTTACATACAAAAATACAAATCCTTCCTCTTTATAATATTAGTATAGATTTTTAAATCATACAAACTTTTGAATGAATTAATTTCCAATTAAACGGTATTTGCTTCTACCTACTCAACGACTGTCTCTCCGATGACAACATTATCAACATACAATTTTAGTATCTTTTGTGTACGACCACCTCTTTAGGTGGACTCCCAGCAATCGCTAGGAAAAAACAAATCGGTGTTTTATTGAAAGCGTTTCCAAAATTGTGTCGCGCAGTGTACGGCAACCCCATATATCGGCTCTATTGTGATAAAGTTACACGCTTTTTAACTCGGCTAACTCACGCGCCATTGTCTACGCGGACTATACTCGCACGTGGATTCGCTCGAGTTTGTTTTGCCGGTCATTGTAGTCATTTTTGCATGAAGAGTTATTTCAGAAGACAAACAATTATGGCACGGGCGGAATTAGTCTTCAGGGGCTAACTTGCAATATGTCGTTTCGTTGTTTTTTTATTTTTTACGTCAAGTCTCACATGTGGACATTTGTTCTCGAATATATTTTTTTTAAATTTAACTGAATACATTACAATAAAGTTAGTTTTATTTGGAGACAGACGCCATTTTCAGAAGTTTGTTTCGAAGTGTAGCTAAACCAAACGGTGCCGATCAGCTTTCTACGAATAATTGTTTTTCACAATTTATAGTAGAAATTTTATATTTGATCATAAAATTAAACTATTTATTTTCTTTTCTTTTTCGAAACCTTCTCCAGTTAATATTACTTAATGAACAGAGTTAAATAAAGAATAAGACGTTTAGCGACTTACCCTAGGATTACTTATGAGAACAAAAGCGTTGATACGAAAAATATTTAGTCATACCTTCTACCACTCTATATCCCTAACTGAACGTTTTACTATTTGTAAAAAAAATCTGTCACTTGTAGGTCTAGAAAAGCTACAACAGTAAGTTACAATAATATAGTGAATTGCAAAGCTTTTACATTCGACTCAACATCGTAACTTTTTATCCCAATTTAACCCGTTTTAATTTCGTTAATTAACAACTACGCACTATGAAAACTTTAAGCTACTCTTTCTGCCTTAGGGTTAGATCGTGACGAAATTATTCACATCGGATTCCTTAACTTCAACTTCAAACATACGCTTCAATTTTCCGAAAGTCTAAAAGACAACAAAGGTCGCCACTCGCCAGCATATTTTGTTCAGATGTTATACGGCTGGAGTATTTTACCTTCCTTCATTTGAACACCTTCTACATCATAAAAAGTGGAAATTCTGCTTCTTAAATGTAAA